ATATAAGGGATAGAAAGAACTGTGGTCATCCTTTACTTGCTTTGCTGCCTTCTGCCCACCATGAACTGTTTCTTTGTGATAACTGTCTTCCATGCCACTCTGCCTGGGAGCCAGCAAATGATGCACTGCAAACTCTCCAAACCGTTAAATAGAAATTTCCTTCTTTAACTTGTGTGTGTTGGGTATTTTGTTCAAGCAAGAAAAGTATTAAGGGGCTGGAGATACAGCTCAGTGGCACAGGTACCTGCCTTGCAGGTGAAAGGTCCTGAGTTCAATTCTTGGTACTCACAAAAAAAGAAAAAGAAAAAATGTAGACACTTAAAGGTATTTCAAGAAGGGCCGGCCAGATAGCTCAGCAGACTGAAGCACCTACTTAGGCAGGCACAGGGACCAGTGTTTGATCCCTGCATGCCGTGCCAGCGCTGCCCCTGGAGCATGCTGAGACAGTGAATGAGATTGGGTATGGTGGCACACACCTATAATCTCATCATTTGGGAGGCTCAAAACAGGAGGATCACTGAGATCTGTGGAGTGAGACTCTGTAGACCCTATACTAAATACATAAAAAAGTATTTCAAGAAGATACACTATATATTCTTATTAAATAGTAAGTTATGGTATTTGTTGTCATTCATTTGTTAAAACAGTTTCTAACATTGGATGTATTTGGTGTGACACATCTGTTAATTTTAGAAAACATGTGTAGTGCAAGAATAATGTTGTACTTCTCAGACCTTCCTCTGTGTTGAGCCTTCAGTTTTTCTGCATTTAATCACAGTATTACCACTTTGGTTTGCTTTGCTCCTCATTTGTACATTTTGCACTTGAATACATTGCTCTGTTGTAATATGAAACTCACAGTGTTAGGCGCACTAGTGGCACTTAAAACAGTAGTAAACAGATTCTTCATTGCAAAGTTACATCCACTTTCAGAGCTTTTATAGAGTAGACTGCACAGGGAGAGAGACAGGAAAGGAAGACTGATTTTTTAAAAACATTAAACATAGTCTTGAGGACTTCTGAATTCTGAGCAAGGATAGGTAATACTTAACTGTAAAAATTTGGCTCAACTATATAGAATTTGATAGATGTCATACTTACCTGCTTTCTACTGTACAGGTATTCAATAATAATTTTCATGCTGTGCTACAAAATGCTCATATGTACGCTAATTTAATCTACTCTTAATCGTATTGAGGGAACTTTGGTCTCCTGTGAGGGTACAGTATGTATTTATGCCATAGAACTCACTTGTGTAGATGCACACATGTTAGAAGATCAAAGGAAGAGAATGTTTCTTTTCATCTTAAGAAAGACCTAAAAAGAAATTCTCAGCAGCAGTCAGGTGGCCATTTTATTTAGAAGCAGTATGAAGAATGCTTTCCATCTGAATGTTTATTATCAAATAAACCTAATCCAGCATAGTAAAAGAGTTGAGTATAGTAAATTATCCTCCCCAAACCACACTTCTGAGAAGCACGTAAAAGACTGGCGTTAAAAGAGGAAATCTGGAACTATTAAGAATATGCCACAGGGGCCGGGGATATAGCCCAGCGGCATAAGTGCCTGCCTGGCAAGCACAAGGTCCTGAGTTTGACCTCCAGCCCCCCCCCCCCAAAAAAAGAATATGCCACATATTTATGTCTGTTTTCTTGTCCTTGTTAAAACCAATCAGGAGAATAGTTGAAGCAATAAGAATCAAGTAAACTGTGGAAGCCTTAAAATAATTGTAATTTCATATTAATCATGTCAAAAAAGTTTAGTTGGTTTTGCAGTTCTGGTTCTATACTTTAATTAGTATCTCAACATTTTGTCGTGAATTGACGACTGATATCAACTAGTCACACCCAGCTGAATTAGCGTGGTGCTGGGAGTGGATGGCCCACCTGAGGATTGTTGCCAACAACTTCGTTGTTGCTGAGGATGACTGGTACTTTTGGAGAGAGCTCTGGTGGGGTCACCAGAGAGTCACTTGAGGGTCACTTCCTGGCTCCTGCTGGCACAGACTTTTTGTCTTCTACCACAGACTTTGGGCCCTCCCAGTGCAGATCCTTGATGCAGACGTTCATGAGACATTGCCATGGGCTCTAGGCTCCATTTGGACTTGTACAGGACATTGCTGTGGAATTCAGGCCCTCAGTGGGATTCTTCAGGTCTCTTAGACAGATTTCCTGTTTTCTTGTATTTTGACTCTTTGGGTGATTATTAAAATATAATCCTGTAAATCATGTGGCATGTACAGTATCTTTTCCCTTACAGACTGATTATAGCACCTTTGTTTTCAAAAGTCTGACATTCTAGTATGAAGTTCCTCTCCTCTCCATCAGTAGCTTAGCACATTTAGCATTGGTTTATTTCCATTGTGTTGCATGTGTGTTATTTTTATTGTTCTTGTGATTTTCTCCTTCAGTTGTGTGTTTGTGCTAAAGCTTTTGGTATTTTGTTTTATTGCATTGTGATTAGAGAATGAGTTCTGCATTTAAAGCTTTTAAATATACCAAGATTGGGGCCAGGGAGATGGCTCAGTAGAAAAAGCGCTTCCCAGGGTGGAGGTCCATCCCCTGTTCTGCAGGGGAAAAAAAAAAAAAAAAAAAAAATTCTGTTTGGCATAATCATGTTTCACCACTCAGTGGAAGTAGAAATATGGTTTCCTGTGAGTACAAAGTGTGGTACTCAGTGCATTGAATCTCAGTATTGATCATGCCTCCTGTAGCCTTGCCTGCCAAGAACTAGATCATCACAGTGGTTTCTCAAGCAATGCTGTCTTGTCAGGTTCCTTGCTGTTTCATATATAGGCTCATAACTAGGTTGTATTGTTTAAAATATAAAATTAATATCTTTCTAATTCTACCTTGTATGTTATTACTTCAAGTTTTTAAATATATGATATATGCCTAGTTCATTTTTGTTTCTTGTGTATTTTTTCTCATATTATTCAGTTTGTAGGTATCTCTCAGTATTAGCTTGTTTTTCACTTTTTTAAATAAAATCTAAAATTGGGTCAATTAAGCCAGTCACATTTACTGTCATAAATGGTCATTTTAATTTTTCTGGCTTTTTTTCTCTTTTTTTGTAAATATGTAGACTTAACCTTTATTTTGCCTGTTTTTAGCAAGAGACTTGTTTTATTTTGTTCTTACATTCTTTATTCTTCTATTAAAAAACTTGTTTTAGTCTTTTGTTCTTATGTTCTGTTTTATGTGTATATATATATATATATAATGTATATATGTAATTAGTATGTTTTCTAGATCTTAAGTTCATCAAAAAACATGTTTGAGTCAAAAATTTTCTAACTCAATAAACAAATAATTGTCTTTGGCTTGAGTTTTTCAAAGTGAAAATATCTTTTGCTTTCATTGGTTTAATGCATACTGACGTTTTAAATACTAAAATTTAGAAAGTGAAAATATCCTCAAAGTCCAGTTCTCTGAAAGTGACTACTAATAAACTTGTGTATGTGTGTATAACTCATATATAAATGTATTCTAAGCCTTAGAATAAATGGGATCATATTCTTTGTGACCTGTAACCTACTTTATTTAGTTAATAAGGTGGTCAGCTCCACATGTCAGTACCACAGAGCCTCTGAATCTCTAGCTGACTTGGGACAGTTCCTTGTACAGTTCTGTATGAATTGCTTTAGCCCCATTCTATGCCTTGTACACACACTCTGAATCAGTAGGCATTTTATTGAATAACCACTATGTCTTAGTTTAGTACTGTGTAGTATGCTGTCGTAATCAGTAACCACTACAAATTGTTACTGGGACTTAGGATAAGTACAATCCTTATTGAAGTAAATCAAATTTTAGTATCTTTTCTGATACCATATTTTATCTTTTTATATCTGCATACTTTTAATAGTAACACTTCAGAGAAGAAAAGACCACTATTTGAGTTATATGTGTATTCTTTTTACCTTTCTTCATACTGTTATATTAAATCTGCATGCTTGATCTAGTTTATGTGTAAAGGTGTAACAGTCACAGTAATGACAGCTTTAGCACCCAGTCTTTTAAGCACTTTGTCTCTATAGCAAAAGTGCCCAAAAATCTATTTCCCAGGTTTAGGGTGTATGTGAGAGGAGGGGAGAAGTTGTATATTGACCTAATCATCAAATGCCTTGTTATTTATTTAGCCCAAGAAACTAACTGTTAAAAACCTAGGGATGACCTCCTCCAGCACTGCCTCTTACTGTGAAGAGCCCGAGGCCCACCAAGCTCTGTGCTTCACTGTTGGTAATTCACAGTCACAGAGCATCAGGTTTCTGCCTCATGGTAGATACAATTTAATATTGTGTCTCTTCATAAAAGTAGACCTCAGGATGAGGTGGTAAAGGAAGGTGAGGAAAAATCGCAATAACTAAGGACAGTACATTCTGCTAGAGGAAGAGATTCTAACTTGGGGTCATGGCCCCTTTGTGAGTATTACATGAAAAAAAATGAAAGGAACTCTTCCTGAAAATTGTATATACACCCATAGGGTGTAGACTCTTTAAAAGTCTTCTTTTGGATTACCTAGTGGTCTGTAGCTCTCAAGGAGCTATACAGAACCAGAGATTGTCATTGCATCTCTGCCATGAATTCAATTGTAGAATATTGTGCTTTTCACATGAAGACAGCCAACAGTTTCAGGGAAGCTACTTTAAGACCCAGCGTAAATGTAGCCCAAATTCCTGCAGCATTCCTTCTAAGGAAGGTAAGGGCAAAAGCAGCTATGGATTTGGGTTGTGCCTCTGACATTAAATGCCATATATTTAACATTTCGATGTGCGTATTTATCCAGATACATTTGTATGACTTTACCAGATCAAATACTACTTTAAGAAAATTCTTTTGTTTAACTTATGATTCTGCCTTCAGCTTTGGGGAACCATTGTAGTTTTGTTTCTCCTGTTCTCTGCCTATTTCACTTCAGTGAAAAAGTTGGAGAAGTTGTAAGTAGGGACCTCTCATTTCCCGTCAGTGTAAACATTTTTCTCTGGCCTCTTTTATAAGGGAGAAGATGTCAACCGGACACTGGAAGGAGGAAGGAAGCCTCTTCACTATGCAGCAGACTGTGGACAGCTCGAAATCCTGGAATTCCTGCTGCTGAAAGGAGCAGATATTAATGTATATTACTTTTAGAAAAAATATTGTTGTATAATTTTGATAATTATTTCTGTAGGCTTGTGAAATAGTTGCTGTAGGAAAGTCCACAATTATACAATTTCCTATAACTTAAAAATATAAGTAGGAATTTTAAAAAGTAAACCAGGGCCAGGGAGATAGCTCAGTGGCTTAAGTGCTGCTTGGCCAGCACAAGGTCCTGAGTTTACTTCATAGTACCAAAAAGAAAAAAGTAAACCAAACAAACGACATGGCTGCTGCTTTTTGAGCTGCACAGCTTGGGGTTAGCACTTTCTGTAGCTAGCAGATGGCCATCAGGTAAAGGAACCTAGGACTTCGCTGCAGTATGCTAAACTGTTTACAGTGGTCAGGTGTGAACAGCCATCTCCTGACTCCATGCTTTTGCAACTTAGGCAGAGTTTCAGAAGATTCTTGTGAGTGCCTGTAACAGCAAAATAGATGAGTTTTCACATTTCCGGAAATGCCATGTCACCTGGCCCAGTTGTGGTAGTCTTCCTTTACCTCATTAGCTGGGACCAACTTCTTCCCTTCCTGTGCCACAAGGCATTTCTACAATAATGTAAAACTTAGGCTCAGAGAGCTAAACAACACTTTGCAAAATAAGTGGCAGATGCAGGATTTGAGCTGGGATCAAAGCTCCTTGGCAACAACTCTTAAAATCCTTGGTTACAACTCTCCAATGACTAGCAACTGCCTTGGAGAAGAGATTCTGTGTACTGTGGGCAAAAATACTATTCATCAGTTTTGAAATATTCACAGAAACTCCCTAATTATATCTGGAAATAGGAAAGAAATAAACATGGATAAGGTTGTTCTTCATTATTTCACAGGCTCCTGATAAACACCATATTACCCCGCTTCTGTCTGCTGTTTATGAGGGCCATGTTTCCTGTGTGAAGTTGCTTCTGTCAAAGGTAAGGCCAATGTTCATTATTCCTGCTGTCTTTCACATTACCCTTTAACTAAATATTTTATTCTTAATTTATATAACTCTTGCATAGTTGTAGGGACAGAGAACTAGATAGAGGCAGTCAACAAAATCACCAAGAAAATACAGTTATGGAAAGCTGAGTGTTAGCTGAAGGAAGCACAGGTGATACTGGCTTGAAATTTGGAAGCTTCGTTTTTTTTATCAGTCCACAATGAGTAAAATTAGTAGATATTTTACTGTAACTAGTGGCTCAGCCTGCTGCTTGCTTTTTTTTTTTTTTCCTTTGGCGGAACCAGGGATTGAACTCAAGCCCTTGCCAGACAACTGCTTATTCTACTGAGCTGTCACCCAGCCATCTCCCCGGCCCCTTCCTGCTGCTTTCTTGATGTGCTTGAAGTAGTGGTAAATTTGAAGTTTCTCAATGTGTTTTGTCTTTGCTGTTACATATAAACTCTTAGGTGGAGTTCAGAATCCAGCCTCAGAAGTCATCCCATTAACAGCAGAAGCAGCCACTCCGGCTGTGTTTCGTGTTGGAAGGGAAGAAACCTTCGTAAAATAGGGGACTAGTGTTGATCACAAATTACCATTTCATGACCATTCAATAGAAAGTGCTAGTCATAATATTTTCATTTGAGATAGTAGAATAAAGTATCATAAAAGAAGCAAAAAAGAATATGAATTAGCTGGGTATGGTGGCACATGCCTGTAATCCCAACACTCAGGAGGCTGAGGCAGGAAGATGAAAAGTATTGCCTGAGCAGCATAGTTCCTGTCTCAGAATTTTAAAAGGGAAAAGAGGACTCGGGATACAGCTCAGTGTGAAGGCCCTGGGCCCAGTCTTTAGTGCCACAAAAATAATTGATTAAATGTAAATACAACACTTTTCCAGAATGCCTGACAATGTAAACACTTAATAAATAGTAGCTTGTATTGTAACTATGACTGAAAAGAATTGCATGCTTTGTAAGTTGACCCAACAGTAAGTTATGAAGTTGGAAAAGAAGTAGCACGTATCTCTTAGCCCTCTCATTCCAGCTCTTTAAAGATAAAGCTTTAGACAGTCCTCTAAAACTAGGGATTTTTCGCTTCGTATCTTCATATTAAACAGTGGATGTTTTAAGTCTATTTATTGTTTTGCCTTCTGTGTGCACATATCTGCACCAGTTTTCAGAGGCCCCGTACCATACTGATAAAAATGATACAGTCTCCAAAAGCAAAAATAAATGGCCATATTACCCTCCTGTGCTGCTGTCTGTATCACCTATGATACAGTGTACTCAGAGGAATTTCCAGGAACTCTGTGTCCCTCCCTGGCACCTGTGAAAAGATCGCAAAGTATCCTTGAAAACTGCCAGATAATTTCATCCACGGGGAAATATGTTTGCTTATTATATCAAAATATTGTCGCCATGGGCAACACATACTGATTTTTGCTTTGTAGGAGATTTATATAATTCCAGTATTGTTATGAATTAGGACTCTATTGCAAGTACGGAAACTAAGATTAAACAGTGGATAGATTGTATTGATCAGAGAACTGCAGAGTTGAGGCACAACTTGGCCTTGGGTTTGGTTTTTTGCTTTCCTAACATGACCAGGCTCTGGTTTTTTGGCTGTCAGCTCTCATCCTCATTCAGTTCCCATGGCTCCAGCCTGTCTATTAACAAAGCATATAGTAAAAGAAATTAATGAATCCTTTTCTCCTCTTTTCCTGACATTTTCACTCAGCCAATGGCTTTGTCCTCTAAAAATAAAAATCTCCATGGGATCCTGTGAGCTTCAGATTATTTACTAAATGAACTGCCTCCTATCTGGACCTATACACCAGATGTTTTCTTTCTGATGGCTTTTTCTTAGGAAAGCAAAACAGGGCATGTTGTCACTATGCTAAAAGGGTGGAACCATTGTTCTTAATATTCCTTGTTCTCAAAACATAGTGCTTCAGCCTTGTGGTTGTAGTTTCCATTGTCACAGAATCTTCCACATTAAAGAACTCCTGGAAGCCTGGCTTGACTTGCATATATATTAGACCTAACATGTACCTTCAGTATGTACTGTGTGGCTAAATTATTGAGTTGCCTAACTCCTAAGGAATTTTCTTTTCTACTTGTACTCATACTATTGTTTTATTTATGCCTGAGCCTTGTTTTTGTAGCCAAATGAATGAGAAGCTTCTGTTGAGGACACTTCAGTTGTGGCCAGGTAGAAGTGTTATTCTATATAAAGGATTTTTTTTTAAGCTTTGTAAAGCAGCATAGAAATTTTTAATTGTGGTTTCATAATTAGTTGCATTGATCTTATCAAATGAGTTTGGGGTTTTTTTGGAAATGCTCTTTTAAAATTCATTTATTGCTTAAAAAGTACTATTAAGTGTACCTTTTAAAGGTTATAATCAGTATGTGTATTAAGGTCTAGTTCTGCCTTTCATAAAAGTAGAATCCTACGGATTCCAAAATCATTGACCTGAAGCCGACAAGATAGCTCAGCGGACTAAGCGCCTGCTTTGGCAAGCACGGGTACCAGGATTTGAGCACCCAGGGCTCATCGAGCCAGCCACAGAGTCCTGGCATGGTGGCACACGCCTGTAATCCCAGCCTGGGGAGGCTGAAAATAGGAGAATCACCACAGGTTTGATCTGCGCAGTGAGATCCTGTACCAAATGCACAAATGAAAAAATTGTTGACATTTAGAATATATAATTAGCATAGGAAGTAAGGGAATAATAGATTGCAGTTTGGAAATACAGTGTGCTCCCAGCTAATGGAGGTATTATGGCTTTTGTCTAGATGTCCCCCCAAAGCTTCGTGCAGTCATGGGGAAGCTTTTCAGAGATGGCTGGGTCTAGAATGTATGGTGCTGGGATCCATAGTGTAATCCATAGTGATTACTAAATCAGTTCATTGGTTTTGGTTTGGCTTCATTCTGGCTAGAATGTGAGTGCTACATTCACCCTAGAGTGGAAGCTTTTGTAAGATGAGAGCAGCCCAGAGAGGGCTAGTATGCTCTTGCCTGCCCACTTCTCCTGGACGGTGTCTCCTCTGCGATGCCCCTGCCAGGCCGCCCTGCCCTGGAGTCAACCAACTACAGACTGAAATTTCTACAAACTGTGAGACAAATAAACCTTTCCTCCTTTTTAGATGTCAGGTACTTTGTCTCAGCAGCAAGAAAAGTAACTAAGACAGAAGATCACAGAAAATTTTCTAGAATATTTCGAAGCAAACTGTCTGTGATGTATCACTTATAATTTACTGTGAAGTCAAATACATAAGTAGTAGTATCGCCATTTTTGTGAATAAGGAACCGTTTGTCTTAGGGACATCTAAATACCTGAAAGTCAAGTAGAATGAATCCAGGGAATTGAGATTTGTTTCAAGATTTATGATTCAGCATCTGTGTTCTTCCTCCTACTTGAGATAGGCTTTCAAAATTAACGAGTGCAATTATGAAAAATGGAACTTTTCAGTATATGCCAGTGAAAAGAATGTACAGTCTAATTGTTGAACTGATAAATTAGGAAAATGTAGAAGCAAATGCAGGGCTTCTACTCGAAGATTGAGACCTGAGCACGCATCACGCTGTCTCCTTTTCTTTGTTCCTAGTGGCAGAAGAAATGTTCTCAGTGAATGAAATAGTATGTACTTCAAATGATGAAAGGGTTTCATCAGACAAGAAACTATAATGAGAATCCTTAAAGACAGAAAGCAGGCAGGATAGAGTTACAGAAGAACACATTTCCAAATGTGGTAGGAGGGCCGGGGAGATGACTCAGTAGAATAAGCGCTTCCCTGGCAAGTGCAAGGGCCTGAGTTCAATCACTGGTTCCACCAAAAAAAAAAAAAAGGAAATGTAGTAGGAGCTAATCCAGGGCTGCTCAAAACCAGGTGCTGCCCAGTAGCACTGAACAGTAGATGGGGGACAAAGTTGCTTGTGCTTCAGGAACAAGGAAGGTGCAAGAATGAATCATAAATAAGACATCAGTATGTGAATAAAGCTGAAGCCAAATAACTGGTAAATACTAAGGTAGAAGGGAGGTGATCAAAGCCCCTTTCACCCCAGATATTACCAAAGCTGATAAGAGGAGGAGGCAAGGGGAAGGGCAAATGAAACAGGCAACATCCAAGCTCAAGAAGCATTGTGGGAAATTGAACCATGGCAGAGAAGTGCGTGTGAAGGAAGTATCCACAGCAGAGAAATGGCAGTGAGCACTGCGGCGCTCGGTGTAAGGCCACGCCCAGCGCACTACACCCCATTTTTATCAAAGCAAGAGCAGTCACATGCATAATTATGTGTTACTTAGAATTATAATTATCTCAGTTGAATAACGTTCTTTTTTGTCCTACAAGCCTTAACCAGGAATATTTTAGTATAAAATGTTGTCTTAGTCACATTCCCATTGCTGGGACAAGATGCAGAAGACCCATAACTTGAAGAAGGGAGAGGTTTATTTTGGCTTTATGTAGTTTTTAGAGGATTCAGTTTGCATTTGGTGTTTTAGTTACTGTTTACTCATTGCTGGGACAAATACCTGATACTCAGAGTAAAGGAAGGAAAGGTTTATTTAGCTCACAGTTTGTAGAGGTTTTAGTTTATACTCTGCTGGCTCCAGTGCAAACAACAGCAGTTGATGGTGGCAGAAAATGAATAGCAGAGGCGGAGCAACAGCTGCAGCATCCATCAAGCCTCTCTCTTCTTTCTACGCTAACTGCGAAAACCTGTCCTCCACTGTGAAGATTGGAGCACCTCCAAAGTGGCGTGAGACAGGGCGGCCAGGAAGCCTTCCTAAACTCCTTTATATATATGAAAAACCTTCCTAAACTCCTTTTCATGCTGAGTCCTCTCTGAAACCAATCGCACCCCAGTGGCAGCCCAGTAGCACCTCAGGGTGGAATCATTTGCACCCCAGGTTGGACCCTGCCCACCTATTCAGCCAAGTTGACACAATGTGTCACCCTACCACAGTTGGCCTCTCCAAGGCCAAAGGGG